CTCTTGGCGTCGTTCGCCTTCCCTGTCGTCGGTGACCGTTCCAGCCTCGACTTCGGTACACGTCTCACTGCCTGCGGCGTTCGGCCCCTTCAACTCCTCGCGCGCGGTAATTGGGCCCGACCCATCCGTTTTCTACACGAGCGGGTTCTTGTCCCACCGACTGACGCTTCCCCCTCCAGGTGGCCCCAGGGAGTTTCGCTCAGAGGTGCGCACGGTTATATTAGTGATGCTGTCCGCGCCTTCACTTTTCGCTGCTGCTGTCGCTGCCTTTCTCCCCCCTGCCACGTGGCGCTTAGATGCGGCGCCTCCTCGTGAGAGTGGGGGCCGTGTCTCTGTGCATTGTCCTCTGGAACTCCCGAGGCCTATAAGGCGGCCCAAGATGGCCCCAGGAGCGCCCTAAACTGCCCCCGATAGTTTGCAAGAGGGCCCCGAGATGCCACCGAGTTTATCCAAGAAGGGCTGCTTTTGGGGGCTTGCCCTCCCCCTCCCCCCCCCATGATCGAAACGCCAGAAGCCGTCTCCTGCTGGAGAGGGTCTCAGGTTGGGCTCTCTCTGGTCTCATTCTTGTGAGGACTCCTAGGCTACCCAGAGGCATCAAGAGGCCCAAGAGGCCTCAACCGTATCCATTCGGGCTGACGCTGTAGCGGCACCAGCGCAGCGCTCGCATTGCAGGCACTCCCGCCTTGCGCCGTGAGCGTTCGGGCGACAGACGCCATCGATGTCCGTTCAAGGTCTCCACCACGGGTGCCCTGTGGCGGGTGTGCGGGCTCGCCGTTGGGTAACACGCGCTCCCGTGCCGCCGAGCCCACAGTGGTTCATGTCCAGAGCCTGTCTGGCGCTGAGCTAATTGAACCGCGGCGATGCCTCCGAGGCGTGACGGCGGGCTCGCCACTCGCGGAGGTCCAGCCAGCGCTCCTATACCACCACATGGCAGTCCAGGGCGCCTGTGCCGGGGGCGAAGGAGAGGGCGGCCGCCCCAGCGGGTGGCGCGTCAGGCTCTGCTGCTGCGGATGTCCTCTCGCCGCGTCCGACGAGCTCCGCAGGGTCGCCATGGAGGTCCACGGGCTGGCGCGTGGGGGCCGGGCCGAGCTGACCGCGCTGCTGTCTCCTCCTGCGTTCGCAGTGGTTTGCTGGGGCCTCGGCGTCAACAGTGGCGACGCCAGCGCCGTCTCGGAGCAGCTCCGCGACCGCGTTGTTTCTGTCTGCGGCACGAGCGATACCTTCGGTTGTGTTTTTGCTGCGCTTGCGGAGGCTGGGTCAGTGGTAACGTGGGGTACTCCTGGGTGGGGCGGAGACCCGAGCTGTGTCGGAACAGCTGGCTGTGTGTGTGTGGTTTCCGTCACAAGGAGCACCAGTGCGTTTGCAGCACTGACGGAACGAGGAGCGGTCGTGTCATGGGGACACGCTGGACGTTGGGGGGGACACTACACGCGTCGGCTGGCAGCTCCAGAGCGGCATCGTCAAGATATTCAGCAATGCTTATGCGTTTGCTGCGCTGAAGGCCGATGGCTCGCTGGTCGTGCGGGGGGGGGGCAACCCGGAGTTCGGGGGCGATGTATCGAGCGCTGGTGACCAGCTGGGGAGTGATGTCGTCAGTGTGTGCAGCGGGGGCTATGCTTTTGCTTCCCTCACGGCTGGTGGGGCTGTTGTTACTTGGGGGCACGCGGCCCTGGATGGAGACGCGGGCATCGCAGCGGCGCGGTGCGTTGAGGGAGTCGCGTCCGTGTGCAGCAGCCGCAACGCCTTTGCGGCGCTGGGGCACGACGGTGCTGTGGTTGTGCGGGGAGATCCTGACTGTGGCGGTGATGCGTCCGAAGTCTCGGGCCGTCTTTGCGCCGGCGTGGTCTTCGTCTGCGCCGGCCAGGGGGCCTTCGCCGCGTTCCTCCGGAGCGGGGCCGTGGTGACCGGGGAGGAGGATGAGGAAGAGGAGGAGGAGGAGGAGGAGGAGGAGGAGGAGGAGGAGGAGGAGGAGGAGCAGGAGGAGGAGGCGGAGGCGGAGGCGGAAGAGGAGGAGGAAGAAGAGGAGGAGGAAGAGGAGGAGGAGGAGGTCACAGCTCGCGGGAGGCGTGTGCCACCTTGCTTCCTTGGGGCACGACGGCTCCTGGGTCCCATGGGGCGACGGGGCGAGCCCTTCGGAGGCGCTGAAACTGGCCTCTGGTGAACTGGTGGGCTGTGCTCAGGAGGAGGGCGAGGATGCCGTCGCTTGCCGCTTGAAGTCGGGGATGCGGAGCGTGTGCAGGAGTACAGTCAGCCCGTATCGTAAGGATGGGCAACCTTCCCAAGGGTACCCTTGCATCCTTGCCTCCTCGGTCCGTCCTTCGCCACCTTCGTCGGCCGCGCCCCGCTCGAAAAGCTTCGAAATGGGCGTCCAAGGCCCTTGCATCCTTATCGCGCATCCTTTCTACACGGGTTGACTGCAGCTGGGTCTCCGCCGGTCTTGCCGGGGGGACGGGTCCGTGGCAGCCTGGGGCCCGGCCAACCGCGACGGGGACTCGAGCGCGGCCGCCGCCCGGCCCAGGGAAGGCAATCGTGGAGATCGTCGGTAACAGCCGGGCACTCGCTGCCCTGAAGGACATCACTGCGGGGTCGCGGTGGGACCCACGACACCGGGTGGACAAAGGGGGCCTCAAGAGGCCCGAAGCGCGATCCCAAGACGGCCCAAGAGTGCCCCAAGAGGGCGTGGCAGGGGGGCCCCAACAGGCCCCAGGAAACACCACGATGGGCCCAAATCTAAAGACAGGCGGAGGGGGCCTTGACATATCCCCAGGGTGGCTCCAGAAAGTCCCTTTGAAGGCACTATGGGCACAACAGCACTGAGAAGCCTAGTGCTTAAGCTTCTCGCTCTGGGTCGTATGTTGTGCTCGTTTTGGGCACTCAAGGCCCGAAGAGGGCCCAAAGAGTCCCCCAGCGGGCCCCGAGATGCCACGAAGACAGCCCAGAAGGGGGAGCCCAAGTGACCCCTGAGACGGCCTAAGGGGGCCCCAGTATAGCCCACAAACAGGATGCTCCTACGAGGTCCCCGATCGGGTCTCAAAGGCTCCAGGCTTTCCCAATATGCCCCCGAGAGCGCAAGACAGGCCAAGAGGGCCACCAAAGCTTATAGGAGGAGGAGGAGGAGGAAGGAGGAGGAGGAGGAGGAGGAGGAGGAGGAGGAGGAGGAGGAAGAGGAGAGGAGGGAAGAGGAGGAGGAGGGAGGAGGAGGAAGAGGAGGAGGAGGAGGAGGAGGAGGAGGAGGAGGAGGAGAGGAGGAAGAGGAGGAGGGAGGAGGAGGAGGAGAGGAGGGAGGAGGAGGAGGAGGAGGAGGAGGAGGAGGAGGGAGGAGGAGGAGGAGGAGGACAGGCCAAGAAGGCTCCACCGTGCCTCAGGCGAGCCCCCCTGCAGGGCAGAGGGCCCTCCTCCGAAGCTGCCCCGAGGCCCCCGGTGGCCGGATCGGGCCGCGGCGGTCCGAGGCTGCACGCTGCCATGCGAGGCCCCCGCCTCCCCCCCTCTCCGGGCAGAGGTCCGCTAGGTGGTGCAGGCCATGTGGTAGGCAGCGGCTGGTGCCGTCGTGCTGCCTGCCACCGCGGCTTGTGCCCAAGCGGCCCTCGGCCCGTGCGGAGGGCTGCGGGACCGTGGCGGCGGGAGTCCCACGCCCTCCACATTTTCCCTTGCCCGCCCGCCCTCATCCGAATCGGATGTTGCGCCTCGGCCTGATCCCCTGATCTCCTTTTTCGGTGGAGGGCGAAGAGCGGAATCTGAAGTGCCGTTTCGATGGGTTTTCGATGCCTGAATCTGCCAAGGGTGAATCACAAGACGGACTGATCTTCGAGGTGCAAAGGCCCCACACGGACTTCACCCTGAGCCCTCCACCCTGAGAAAATGCTGAGGGAGACGCCCGTCGATCTAATTGTTTTCGATTTGCTGGGTCCCCTGGATCCAGCTCTCCGACTCCTTCGCCCGCAGAACGCCCTGTTCCTCCTGAGCTCTCTTCTCTGGCGGTCCCGGTGGCGGTGAGCGAGCTCAGGGCGCAGAAAGGTGCACGGTGCCTGCGTGGCCTGTTGTTTCTCCAGGCGCTGGAGGATTCCCTCCCTCTCCGCCGCTTCGTCCCCCCCAGCCCCAGGGTCAGTCAGTGTCCGACCGAACACTGTCCCGCCAGCCTGCGGGGCACGGGCTGGAGCGGGAAATCCGACTCGGAAGAACACGCGTTCAGGCTGCGACGCCCGAGGACAGGAAGGAGGGCGAGGACCAGTGCAAACCCAAAGCGCATCCACGATGTCGCAGGCCCTCCAATCTTCTCTCTTCACAGGGCCCTGCAATTATTTGTCTTTGTTGCAGGAAATGCCCGAATCCTCAATCGTGCCAGAACACCATTCCTGGGACTTCAGGGTCGTGGATCATAGTGACTGTTGCGTCCAGACGCTCCGAATTCCTGGCAGAAGACCATTCCTGGGACGTCAGAACCGTGAATCAACGTGATTGTTCCGTCCTGACAGTTTTAAATTCTGCCAGGGCACCATTCCTGGGACTTCGACCATGCGAATGCGCGTGGCGCTCAGGCGAAAGCAACATTTTAAGAAAGAACCGCCGTTCATCCTTGAAACTGTTGCGCACTTTTCAAACGAATGTGCGCAGCACTAAGGCGAGAGCTACATGTTTTAAATCACCCGCCCCCCATCCGTGGTAACTACTGCAAACTTAAAAAACGAATGCGCGCGGCGCTGAGGAAAACGGCCCGCCCTCCATCCGTGAAGCTGTTGCAAACTTTAAGCTTCAATACTACTAATGGTAAGCAAGTCTCACGCGAAACGCACGGTTCGCTGTACCCACACGTTCGGGCATGCGACAGGGAGGAGTTACTTATATGGAAGTGGTGGGGGAGGAGGAGGAGGAGGAGGAAGAGGAGGAGGAGGAGGAGGAAGAGGAGGAGGAGGAGGAGGAGGAGGAGGAGCAACAGCAGCAGCACGAGCAGGAGGAGAGAGGGAGGCCGCGGAGGGCAGCGATGCTTCACCAGCCCCCGGCAGGCCAACGCGGGCGCCCTTTCCGCCGACGCGTTGCGCGTGCTGCGCTGCTGCGGCTTCGAGCGGGGGGCAGGCGGGCGGTGCCACCCGCGCCCGCCAGGGCGACTGGCACACAGATGGAGCATGCCAGGATTCGTCATGATGAGGAGGAGGCGGAGGAGGAGGACCTGTGTAAGCCCAAGACGTATCCACGATGTTGCAATACACCTTCCCGTCAAGTTCTTTCCTTATTCACAGGTCCTTCAAGGAATTGCCAATGCGGTAAAGTAGCCCATGGGAAGACAACCGTCTGATAATCCCCAACCGTGCCGAAACGCAAGTTCTAGGATGCCAACGTCGTGGATACAGATGATTGTTGCATTCAGACACCCCTGATTCGTGCTACAACATTCTTCCTGGGACGTCAGCACCGCGAATCAACATGACTTTCGTGTCCTGACAGGCCCAAATCGTGCCACTGCGCAAACCCGAAGACTTCGACCAACATGCTCTTTGGAATTATCATAGACTTTGAAGACGGATGTGCGTGGCGCTGAGGCTGTAGCCACGTTTTGAAAACGACCCGTCCTCCACCCGTGAAACTGGTGTACACGTTTAAGAAAATATGCGCAGTGTTAAAGCAAACGATATGCACATTTTGACAACGACCCGCCTCCATCCGTGACGCGGTTGTAACCGTTTAAAAGGAGATGCGCGGCGCTAAGGCGAGAACCGCGTTTTGAAAACGGCCCGCCCTCCATCTGTGAAGATGTCGCATGCGTTTAGGACGAAAGTGCGCGGCGCCACGGCGATCGCAGCATGTTGCAAACGACCCGCCTTGTATCCGTGAAGTTGTTGGAAACTTGTCAGACAAATGGACGCGGCGCAAACATGACGAAAACGGCCCGCCCTCCACCCTTGAAGTTGCTGCAAAGTTTTAAGGGGAATGAACGCGGTGATAAGGCGAGGACCACATTACGAAACCGGCCCGCCTTCAATCCTTGGAGCTCTTACTACTTGCGTATCCCGTGATTTTAAGTTTGAGGAAGTCTCGGATGATCCTCCCGACCCGCTCTACCAACCCGTCTCGAGCTGTGACAGGGAGGAGTTAATGATAAGGAACGGGATGGAGGAGGAAAGGGGGAAGGAGGATGAAGAGGATGAGGAGGAGGAGAAGGAGGAAGAGGAGGAGGAGGAAGACCAGTGCAAACCCAAGCGGCATCAACGATTTTGGAATAAACCCACTCTCCAAGCTCCCTCTTCATAGGCCCCATGCAGCGGTTCATGTCCATTGAGGGAATTGCTTCGTTGGAAGACAACCGTTTGAAGACCTTGCAGCATGCTGAAACATTGTTCTCGGGATTCCAAGGGCACGCATTAACCTGACTGTTGTGTGTTGACGATCCAGAACCGTGCCAAAACTCCATTCTTGGGACTTCAGCCCAGCGAGCCAAGGTACGTTCGAACCCTTTCAAAACACTGTTTCTGGTACGCCGATGATAGAAATCCGTGAAGCTCTTGCAAATTCTAAAGCCGAGCGTGCGCCGCGCGAAGGCGAGAACCACATTTTGAAAAGGAGCCGCCCTCAATCGGTGAAGCTTTTGTTGCACATGTTTTGAACGAATGTGCGCCGCGCTGAAGAAAGAACCAAATTTTGAAAACGACCCGCCATTAATCCGCGAAGCGCTTGCCATTCTGTTAAAGGAATGCGCGCCGTGCTAAGGCGAGAGCCACATGTTGAAAATGGCCCGCCCCCAATCCGTGAAACTCTGACATTCTTGAATGTAAAACAACGAATGTGCGCCGCGCTTGGGCGAGAACCGCATGTTGAAAACGGCCCACCCTCAATCAGTGAAGCTTGCGAATGTTAGATCCGAATGTGCGCCGCGCTAAAACGAGATCAAAATTTTGAAAACGACCCGCCTTCAATCCATGAAAATCTTGCACCGTTTTAGAACGAATGTGCGCCGCGCTGAAACGAAAACCACATTTTGAAAACGGCCCGCCCTTACTCCGCGAAACTCTTGCAATGTTTTAAGACGAATGCACGCCGCGTTGAGGCGAGAACCACATTTTGAAAACCACCCGCCTCCCATTTGTGAAACTGTTGCCAATGTTTACGCTTCAGGGTCATAAGTGGTGTGGATCTCTTCGGCGAAACGCCCGGCCTGCCTCAAATATTCGCCTCGGGGTGCGACAGGGCAAAATTGGTTCAAGGAAAAAGTGGAGGAGGAGGAGGAGGAAAAGGAGGAGGAGGAGGAGGAGGAGGAGGAGGAGAAGGACGCAGGAGTAGGAGGAGGAGGAGGAGGACGACGACGAGGAGGAGAGGATAAGGAGGAGGAGGAGGAGGAGAAGGAAGGGGAGGAGGAGGAGGAAGAGGAGGAGGAGGAGGAGGAGGAGGAGGAGGAGGAGATGGAACAGGAGGACGCCCAGGAGGAGAGGAGGAGGGCAGGAGGAGGAGGATGAGGAGTCGGAAGCGGAGGCGGAGGCGAAGGGAAGAGGAGAAAGATGAGGTGGTGGAGGAGGAAGACGGGGAAGAAAGGGATTGAGGAGGAGGAGGAGAAGGAAGAGGAGGATGAGGCGAAAGAGGAGGAGGAGGAGGAGGAGGAGGAGGAGTCGTTACCATACGCTCCCTGCCGCCGTCGGTGCACATATAACCACGCACGCAGACACACATTTGGCTGCCTGCAGCTTTTGTGGTTTGGAGAGTAAAAGGGCCCGCGCCCGCCCCGCGCGCGCGTGCACATACTAATGCACTTTCCTTACCCAACGCTAAACGGGATACCATATTCCTTCACAGCCCGCAATGTCCGTAGACCCGATAGCATGGACCCCAACAGTGAGGACTACCTTACTTGACAGTATTGGCCTGGTTAGGCCCAAGTTGGGTAAAGATGGGTTATCAGCCGGAAGCTCTGGGTTATGGACAGTCGACCATGTCGATGAATATGTGGCAAGTACGAGCACCTCCGTGAACGTGGACAAGAACATGGGAGGTGGAATTAGTCCCAAAGAAGTGGGAATGTATAAGGAACGAGTCGACGGACCAACGAAGTTGACCTCACCACGCATCCGAGAAACAAAAGCGACAATGTTGCAGAACATCAATTCGCCTGGAAGACCACTGTCACTTGAAGAGGAGGACAACAAGGCCATCACGAACCTGATGAAGAAGAACCCCTTCGCTACCATGCGGATTCCGTCCCCGGCGGGACTGGCAGCGGGGCGCGATGATACACCAGCGAACCGCGGGCGACAGGATGCCCCCGTTCCAGAGGACGACCTCGACGAGGACGATGACTGTTACGGGGGGAAGCCCTGCCCGCGTAACCCGCTGTTAGGCGATGTCGAACAGGCCTACGTCGTGAACTCCAGCTCATCTGACGAGGGCGACGAGACCGAGCGCATCGCCGTGGCCATGGAAGACGATGCCCATATCGAGCTCGTCGGAGAACAGTCTTGGGTCGGCCCCTGATCGAACCCCGAAAAAGCGAGGCGCGGATTTTGTCCGGAAAAAGGGGAAGACACAAAGCCCCCGAGACGGTGCCGAACGCCAGCGGAAGGACCTGCCGACCTCACCCGGGGGGTCTGGAATCGAGACTCGACACGGGGAAACCCCAAGGGATGACCCAGTAGACATAAAACAATTCCCGTACGAAAAGCGCCCTAAGACCGAGCCTGGCGGCTCGAGTGGTCAAGATGACCCCGAGCCAGTCCCTGATCTTAAACCCCGTGGAAGGCAATTATTCGAGTCACCCAGCTCGATTTCCCGGAGGTCAAGATCGGGAACGGGCGGTCGCAGTCGCAACTCACGGGGGTCCTACCGCGGGTCCTCTCTGTCCAGATCGTCAACATCTCAATGCACGATGAGGGAGTCATGCGCGAATCACGGACCCGCATGCGAGCCAGCCCCCGAGAGTCGGTGCCCAGGCAGAGCGGCTGGTGATCGGCCATGCCAGATGCCTGTATGCCGTGGACGTTCCGCTCAGTGCAACCTGTGTAATTTGGGATACCTTTGCCAGGAATGTCTGCCACCAGGGCAACACAATTGCTCTGCGTACAAACATCGCGAGTGGGAGCTACGACAGGAAAGGAGGCACAACCAATTTGAGCAAGAGCGCATTTCCGAAATAGCCGCCATGCGCGCAATGATGGCAGACGTGGAAGCCAGGCAGAGAGCGCAGAACGAGCGCATGGCGCAGCAAGCCGAACATGCGCTTAATGCAATCCTAAAAAGGGAAAAGGAGCAGTGGCATGCCCTCTATGAGGCTGCGGTGAAGGCAGATAAAGAAACCAAGGAGCAAAAGAGGACAGAACAGGCCATCGCAGAACAGGCCCGGCAAGCCCTCCGCGGGGCGCAGGACCGGGAGGCGAAGCCTGAGGAACAGGTTCGCGCGAAGCTCCGAGAAACCACTATGGCGCAGGAACAATCTGTCCCCGAGGTGGAACATATCGCAGCCATGTCCATTGCCGAGAGGCGCCAATTGGAAGAGAACGCCGTAGAAGCGAAGAGAAAAGCCGATATGGCCCTTCAGGACGCTCAGGCAAAGCAGCATCTACTTGAGAACGAATGGGCAAGATAACGCTAGACCCGCTGCCAGACGCGGGATCCTTCCGAATGTGGAACCAGTCTGTCATTCGCGCAGAGGCGTCGAGTTCGCAGCAAAACCATGTTTTGGCGACGAAGTGGGTAGCCGAGGCGTTCGAGCCCAAACAGGTCAAAGCAAAGGCTCTGAAAGACCCAGGACCGTATTTCGGGAACCTGGACATGCGGATAGCTGCAGACCTCGTCGCAAAGATCAATATGATTCGAAGGGATCCGAATGATTTCTATGCCTTAAGGCATCTTGCAAATGAAGTTGATCTCACTGACTCAGCCATAATGAAGGCTGGGGGATTATTTTCAGGAAGATCGATCCTTCGTATCATCCAAACCCATGTCACCACCCGAGAAGACCATGGTCAGGTGTATGCCTATGAGGACCTTATGGCCATCCAGATCAAAAGGAGAAGGAAAAGAGGCGGACCGAGACCTCTACCACTTCTATGATGAATGGATGAGGGTGACGCTAGAGATGGAGAAACCCCACAAGT